ATATATATATATATATATATAACATGTGAATTTTTGATATAGTACTCTCATATCCCTCCAAATGGCATAACTGATTAGCCCTAAAGAGTGAGATGTAATAATGGAAACACACAAGGACAAATGGTCCGGTGTTAACCTTACCTAAACCAACTAACTTTACGATAAGAATTAGTTAATTAATCAAGCATATGATATATCAAAGTATTTCTTTCTTTAGTCGTAGTTGGTAGCACCCCTCGTTCTTTTTATCGATAATAGTTAGGATTATCTCTTTGGATCCTCTTCTTTGTCCCCCCCAGTGTACTATCATACAAAAAAGAGGAAAAAAAACTAGGTCTCAATGTTTAATGCCATGCCCTCTAGCTTCCTCTCTTCTATGCACATATGGGGGTTCACAGTGCACTTTTTGGGGTTTTTCATGGACTCATTCGAGTTTGCCGGTCCAAAATTTGGACTCCGCTGTATTAAAAATCAAGTTGACAAGTATTTAATCTTGTCTTTTTTTTTCTTTTTTTTTTTTTGTCTGGATCAGTACCTTGTTGATGGCTCGAAGCATTTACTGTTAACTTGGTTAGAAAGATTAATTGAGCCAATAACCTCTAATTTGACCATTAAGAATTTGCTAAATTCAAGTATCTATAAATTTAGTGCTAATTAAATGCTAATACACAGACGTCGCCGCAAAATATATAAGAATGTTCATGGAATTTCTTAGATATATTTAGCTTATCGCTAACATTAATTAATTTTATAACTAAAAATAATATTGTTCATGGTTAATATTTATGTGCAGGAAACTTTAAGATGTAGTTTATCTAATTAGATGTTAAATTTATTTTTTAATAGTTATAAATTTGAGTCTTTTTAAAGTTATAAGATATTTATATAATTATTAATTTAAAAATTTATAAAATTAATTGAGATACCTATATAATATTTATATTATATGTGTGAGAGAGAGAGGTGGGGGGAGACGGTGATGTTATTTTTCTAATATGCGGTGCTAATTGTGAAGTCAAAAGCTAATTATGCGGTGGTTGGGACTTATTAATCTACTTCAGGGTGAATAAGCATTAGCCAGTTGAAGTGTTGAACGGTGATTTTTAGCACCAAGTGGAAGATTCTCCATTATAACAAGAGGGAAAACAAAATACGAAGTCAGAAGTAATTATATCATCCATCTGGGATGCATATAAAAAAGCAAATCTAAAACCTCATCTTAGAGTCCTCTAATAAGAGATCGATGAATCATTCACCGAAAGGGAAAGCATTGGCCGATTTTCCGACATATCCAGAATTGAAAGTGGCTTTGACTAAACAGAAACCAATCCTGAAATTAACGAGCGTAGATAACATACTTTGTTTAAAGATCTGTCTTCTGTTCTGTGCCTCTCCACACATTCACCCGTAATTTAAGATCCCAAATAAATGCTGACAGTTGCAAGGGATATGCGCACCACAGGCCACACACCTAGCTACCCGAACGTCCATCCCATCGCAACGCGCTCCTGGCTAAGAACTAGCTAGCTAGGTTAGCTCCTGATTGTTGATGTGCAGAGCCACAACAAAAATCAAGGCAAGTAAACCAACTTGGGCCTGCAGCCGTGCATAGCCAATTAGCTAGGCAGATCACCTGCTGGCCAATCAAACATCCATCCAAAGTACCTAGAAACACTTAACAAGAAAAACTTAAACACATGCATATAACCCAACACAAGACAAGGATTGAAAATTAAAACATCATCGAGACATTAACATCCCACGCGAGTTCCTTGGTTTCCAAATTAATTATTTATAATTTACTTTGCCTCCATTACAAATGACCTTTACTGTCTTCATGCATGATAACATCCCTCCTCACCAAATACAAAGTGATTCCACAAAACAACGAAAAAACGTACCATCCCTAACATACATCACATATTCCCCTTCTTTTTAACTAACAAAACAAAATTTAAAAGATGTACACAGTACATAATTGACCTCACACCAATAAACGTGAAACCTTGTGTTGTTGAAGGCCTTCAGGTTTCCAGTGGGTGTCGGGTTCCGGCGAAGGCAAAGACAAGAGGCGAACAATTATATCAGCGAAAGCACTAATGATAAACTTGTGGGTGTGTTTAGGGTTTAATTTAAGATAGCAAGAGATCAACTCATGCAAGTAGTCCCAATTAGCCCTAACGTCCCTTATCTCTCTTGCTTCAATCATCTCTTGCATTGAGTGTTTAAAATCTATGTAAGGATCTAGTGAATACTTTTTAATGGCAACACCTCCACTGACTGGGGTATGAAGCTCTTGCATGGACTCAATGATGGAGTTGGAGCGTCCAGGGGAGGAGGAGAAGAAACGTTGGGAGGCGATAATGGTGGCAAAATCAGGCGTCGAGTCGGTGTCAGGATCGGAGTAAGATGAGGAGGAGGAATTGGTGGAGGGAGTACTGAGGGATTTGGAGGTGGATGCTGAGGAGAGGTCATAGAGGGAGTTGAAGTTCTTGATCACTATTGATGTGGTGGGGGCGGCGGTGGTAGCGGATGATAGTAATGGATCACTACACTCTTGCAACTCTGAGGGCAATGGATGTGAGGACGGGGTTACGGTGGGTAAGCATTTGAGAATGTTCTTCCAGAAGATGGGGGGCATTTTTCCTCTTGATGAGATCAGACAGGGAGATTGTAATATGTCTGCTATAATGGCAATGGGGATAAAAATAGAGGAACGTCGTTGAACGGTGGAGATTTTATTTGGTGAGAGAGAGAGAAAGAGAGAGAGAGAGAGCAACAGTGCAAGTTTGTTGAGGAGTGAGAGAAGCAACATCTATTTACGTCCTCCACTCCTATCTTTATTCAAGGCTTTTGTAGCCGAGGATTATATAGTCTCACCATTATTAAACTTGTCTGGTTGTTGTAGCTGGTCAATCTAAAACCTAATTTAGATAGGGTTTTTGGGTTAATTTTTTTATCGAAGTTAATCAAGTAACTCCATTAAACACTCGTTTGATTTATAACTTGATTAACCCAAAAAGAAAACTTGAAATTACATTATTTTATTTTTTAAAAATATTTACTCGAGTTACCATGCATGCTTTACTCATTTAATATTTTTATGTCAGGTCAAATTTAACAATTACAAGTAGCGTGTGTGTGTATTTATATATGTATACAGGGACATCTCTAGACTTAAAATATTGTGTAGAGTAATGTAGATTTGAGTTGTGTATTGTGTGCATGCCTACGTACGTACGTACATATGAAAATGTTATGTGAAGTGGGGGTGGTTTCGTTGCCGTTGCACTGGGTAATTATTTAAAATGTCGTGGAGTATATATGATCTGAGATTAAAATGCTGCAGAAGACATCACCACATGCGCATGTTTCCTCAGAATTCTTATGGTCTGTGTGTGTCTCTGTGTGTTGTTGTATTTTTTTTTAAATGATCAGCTACTCATTTACATCTTTCTGGGCCTGCAAACATCATGATATGATCTGATATGATATGACATGACATGACATGATATGATATGATATGACAGTACCTCTCATCCAAATAATTGACAATCTCAGCGATGCATGGAAATTAAATTAACTGACAGTTGCTTCAATCACATTCAAGGAATTCAATGCCTTTCTCTCTTTATTTCCCAGATCTTAAATGCACCAGAGATTTTAGATAATCTGTTCTTTTAACTCATCCGTCAATTTTGACTGCTTAATTACGCACCTTCTCTCAACCTTGATTCATCGCATGCCTTGTAGCATCCTCTATCTATATTATAGAACACAAGCATTCATCATAATCTCTTACATTTTGCTTATTTGTTTTCTGCCACACGAATGCTTTATTTATTTATTTATTTAAGGGTAATTAATTTTGGTTTTGTAGTTATTTCTCTTGAATGCCAACGGTTATTATTCTGTGTACTTAAAAAAAGAACAGCAGTAATATTTTCCATTGATAAGGTAAAAAAAATAAAATGAACTAGTAATGTAGAAATGAATGATCATAACAAATATGATATTCTTAATTTACCATTTCCTTTCCAAATGTTAGGCCTAATTAAACAGATTTCAGTGGCTAATAACGGAAGGAAAAAAACTTTAAGCCTCTCCTCTAATTCCTCTCGAACAAAAAAGTAAAAAATAAAAAAATGATCTTAATTAACCTCTTAATTTTTATTTATTTAGTCTTTTCATTCAAGAATTTTTATTGATAAGCTCTCTCCCTTTCTCTCTTTTGAAACTTAACTTGGTGATTAACTCGGTCCAAGATCTAAATCACCCAGATCAATTTTAATTTTTTTTAAATTAAAATAATATTATTTTGATAAAAAAATAGTCAACGAATTATAACTTGGCTTTTGATCGGATCTTGCTAGATCAACTTTTAAATTAATTGGTTTTTTGAGTTTTTTTATTTTTTGATAAACCTGACCCTGTTTTAGTTTCAGATCAACTAGATTTCAATTGAAAAACTATACCAGATTGAATTTTAAAACCATATTCTTTCTCTCAATTTACTATTAATTCTTCAAACACGACCTAGCTTATGTTTGACATATATTCGTTTTTGCTGGCATGTTGTAAAAAATTAATGGTAAACTGAGAGAATATTTTAAAAATAAATTATTAATAAAAGAGCTAATTAATTAACTAAAAAAAAATATTACAAGATCCATATTAGAAAAATACCAAGATCCATATTCTAAGTTTCAGAGTAATTTTTAATATTAAAAGTAACAAATCTAATTGATTAACTAAATTGTATATATAGAGAGATTTATAAATATTTAATTAACAGTTTTAGGTTACGAATAGGGCAGCTTCTGCAAGTGGGCGCAATAACTTATTTATAATCATTGAAAAATAGATTTTTGAAACGCTTAAATGTTATGTAACTTCTCATAAAGAAAAAGGTGTTAAGCAATTTGGTTTAAATATCCAATGCATTTACATTTTCTTTTATTGAAAAAATATTTTTTAGCATGATTGTCAGTTATATAGAGAATTAAGAGGATTATTAAAAAAAAGGTATATGATATAATTCTATTCGTACAAAATTATAATTAGTCAAGGAAAGAATATATTTTTCAATAATTGATTTAGTACCATTATGAACATCAAATGAAATGAAGGCAACGCTCTAAATTACAAACATAAACGTTTTTTATTTTCTACATTATACATTAAAGTTTTGATAATACTGAAATCGCCATTTATTTTAAATTCGAATAAGAAACGAAGTCACAACTGCTAAGTATATTATACATAAAAAAAAATGTTCAAGCTATATAAGTATTTTAAAAAAATCTCCAATTAAATAAATTTTAATACAGGAGCAGAAAATGATATCTCAAAATGTGAAAAGAATTAAAAGACAAATATAAAACTCAAATTTCTAACAATTAATTAATTAATTAATATTCACCATTACAGATAATTTGCTTTCCGATTCCGCATAGCCTTTCACCAAAACTATGTCTTATTTGCCAGCCTCTGCAGGCAAATTGTGTCTCTTCTTCAACTTTGCCCTACTGCTCACCCACCAACCAGCGTTCTCTGCCCAGAAATAAGACACCATTACCTCCATTTTTTGGCACTACTAACATACCGAGTCAAAAAAATGTCACAACCTATTCACGAGCTCAGATACTGATGGCGCGGTCTTCATAAGCAGAGTATTAAAGTCCAAAAGGCCAAACTACTCCTCTACCTAGCGTACGAAATTTATCCTCGAAAGCTTACTGGTATGGTACATATTTTCTGTAGGGAAAAAAAAAACCTTGCCCTTATAGTGGGCATTATAGAGGTGGGCTTCAGCTTATTTCCTACGTTGCAGCTTACGAAACTCTGTTTGCCACATGATTGTACTTTCGTAAAACAAAAGTGGCCCACGAGGCGAAGTCCTTTCTCTTCTGTGAGGCCAACATATAACGCTGTGAAAGCCAGAAGCTTTTCAGAATAAAAACAGTGGTTTAAGGTGAACTCACTCGAGTATATATCCTTTTCCCATTTCTAGGGTTGTTGCCTGTTGGCTCCCTCGTCTTGTTGGACTGCAGTTGTTAAACTTTGTCGATTTTTATAAAATTGCCATATCATATTGATACTCTTGGAAAATTGCATTGTAAACTCTTGTCCATATCAAATCCTGCTCTGTGCTATCATGTAGCCTCTAGGTACGTACAACAATTTGATTTCAAAAGCAAAACGAGAACACTTCTCTCCATACTTTTTGAGAGGTCTCCTGCCAATATCATCAAAAACTGTCGAATGCTTATCTTTGGTAAAATTGCCAAGAAATTGGGGTTATATTTTTTAGCATAGCACCGCGGGTATACAAACTGCAGGTAAACATTTATTATACCGAACGAGTTGAGTCCCATTATGTTTGGGTTTCAGTAACTCTTTAACAATTGCCTTCGGGCTCAGCAAGGACAGTTAACCATTGGGCCATGAACTTTCTTTCTCCAGTGATAAATGCATTTAGCATTGACACCTTCGGGCTCAGCAAGGACAGTAAGTTGAGCCCCAATTTACTTAAAACTGATTGTTAATGCAAATAAGCCTACAACGCTTTAGAGGCTTAGACAATAAGGTCTTGCAGGCTTGAATCAATTTAGTTGGTGCCCCATACATTTAGAGACAGTACACCTGTGCAAAAAGGGAGCAAAACTGGAAACGGTGGTTTATTAACTGTTGCAGATCGAGCAGCAAGCAACTAAGAGAAACAACTGCCTTCTCAGTTCATAGTGACCACCAAGGACTCCAAAACCTATATACTCAACGAGACACGACTAGTTACAGAAAAGTGTATTGCCTTCACTATAAGAAAAGCCACTCCCTTCCGGATGCAAGACTAACCTTCAACACCTGCAGTTATTAGTATACAAACCACGCACCCAGAAAACCAAGCTTATCTTACACTGAACAAAGACACAAAAAACGCTAATAGACATAGCATCACTTTATCACATATCATTGAGCCTAGCTGGTACAGTCAAGGACGCGGCAACGCCACCAGGACGAGCAGTCAGATTAGGGTTGTTTAGAGAACCTGTTCAGCAACGCCTTCTGTGACTAAGCGGGCTCCTGTAATGTCATTTTCAGTTACAGTAACACGTTGGTCAGCAGCAGCTATACATGTTTTTATAGACTTGAAAGTGATGAAATATCATGATTAGTAATCAAATAATATACTTTAAATTAAACTAAATAGATATTATTTATTTTAAAATTAATTATAAAAATCACTCACATATTAAATTTTAAGTTTCAAGTAATATCTTTTTTTATATTATAAATATACTTGGAATAATATTAGAAAAGTTATTAATTTTATTTTTTTACTGGAGTATTTTTTTTCAATATAAAATATACATATTTTCTTTATTTATTTTTTATAAACAAAACTTAAAGTTTTTAAAAACATGGTTTGCACCGTGTTTTAAAAAAATTTAATTTTTTAGTTAAAAATTAATATTTATTTATTTATTAGATTATTTTGATATATTGATTTTAAAAATAATTTTTCAAAAATATAAAAAATATTATTTTAATATAAAAAATATTTTAAAAAATAATTATAATTACATTCCGAATAGACTTAACAGTAACATCCCTTGTTCAGCAGCAGCATCGCTGGCCAGCCAATAACTAACAAAGCCAGCTTGCTCATTGCGAGTTGCAGCAGATTGCAAGGTAGCAGCTGGACCACCCTTCTGGGTCTGTCCAAGTACGGTGCTTTCCGCACTGATCTGCATCATGTTAGCATCTTCTGGTGCTACTTGTCGCCAGAAACGTTGAAAACGTCGCCATATCTCAAAGGACGATCTTGCTCAAGGCCACCGTGTTGTCTTGCCCGCCAGCTTGAGGCCTCCTTGGCTGACCCTGACTCATCTGCAACGTAATATTAAGTTGCTTCTCCTTTCTTTCTTTTTTTTTTACCCCTCTCTTAGTTGATTAAATTTTGGTAATTGCGTGCATCTGCTGGATTTCAAATAGCAAGCTTGAAAGGAGGTGGAGCAATGGAGGCAAGGGCGGAGGGTTGTTAAGGCTTGGGTATACTATAATTTAGGTTAAGATTTTATTGATATTTTTTATTAATTTTATGTAAAAAAAATTTGTAATTTGAGTTATCAAAAAAATTTAAAAATTTACAGGGATACTTCTAATATAATATTTTAACTTGAGCTAAAATTTTATAATTTTTGAAGAGATTCATAAATTTAATGAAAAATCATAATTTAATCAATTTTATGTTACTGAGTATAATTTTCAATCTGCTCATCAAATTGATTTGAAATTTTATAAAGGATCTTAAAAAATATTGAATAAAATTTGATTAAAATTTTATGATAAACGGAGCTTGGTAATGCTAAAAAAAAAGACCGTCAAATAAAAGCAAAAATACTTATTAAAGGTAAAGTGATTATTTGTCATTAAAAAATAAAACAAATAAGCTCTTCCTTTCTTTTATACATTGCCGGCTAGGCAAAAGTAGAATAGAAAAGAAAAGGCGAGAGAGAAAGAGAGAAAAGTAAGGAAAAAACATTTTAAAAAAATCTATGAAAAAATAAGAAAAATAAGAAAATAACCTTGTAAACTTACAAAGTTTAACTTATAAAACACTAATCTAAGGAAGAATCAAGTGAAGGAAGGAAGAATTGAGAGAGAAAAGAAATTTAATTACTTTGTTTTCTAGTTGACATGATATTGTTATTTTATCTCGGTTGAGGAGGGACAATTAAAAGAAATTTGGAGAGAGGCCGTCATAAAAAAAAAACCCAAAAAAAGGCCATTACAAGAGAGAATAAAAAAGAAAAAACACAAGAACAGAGAAAGGAAAGACTGAAAAGAGGAGGAGGAGAGCATTCTCCAGTTGGTGCTTGCACGGTTACCTTCGCTTTCGGCTTCACCAAGTCCTTTTCTTCTCTCTGTTTTTGTGTAATTGTTACAAGATAACAGTGCGAAGATAATTAGAGGGCTGGATTCGGGCTTTAGGTCCAGCCGACCCAAATTATTTGTTATTCTAGGAGAAATGGTATTGTTCAAGGAGTTGTCACCTAGTATTATAGTCACTAGAAATCTTAACTAGTCAATGAATATTCTATGGTACGAGATTGGTTATAAAAAAAAAATGTTATTACTCCTTAAGCGTCTTACTTAAAGCAGGATGCATTATTGGTTTTATCTAAAATTACAAAGAATTTGTTCTCCTTTTCTCCTTTTTTATTCTTCCTTTCATGTTCCTAACTTTGGTGTCAGTGAATAATTCTTACGAATATTTTTAATTGTGATGTTGGTAAATATCATACAAATTCAAAAAATATGATACTCCTAACTCTAGTGTCAGTGAATATTTTTGCAAAAAAATAAATTTAAAAAAGAAATTTTCTATGTCATTTTTTTCTTGTTTATCCTTTATTATTATTTGCTCTTTTTAGATAGAAAAAAAAACCATTATACAACATATTTGCATTTAATAATAATAGACCACAGATTGAGTACATAACTTAAAAAAAATACTAAACTAAAAAAATATAAAATAAATTAAAGTGTGAGGGGCTCACAAATAAATCAACAAAGATCCCTAAATATTTTTAAATTTTTTTGATATCGAAAAGGGGCTCGCTTGGCCAAATATCAAACTAAAATGAACATAAAAATTATGATCAAGATGTAAGGGTGTGTTTTTTCAAACACACCCTTAATAAATATAATTTGGGCTGATTGGGCCTAAAGCCCAAATCTTAGGCCCAATCGGCCCACTAATTACCTTCGCATTGTTTTATTGCAACAATTACACAAATAAAAAGAAGAAGAAGACTTTACTTGGTGAAGCCGAAGGTGAAGGTAACCATGCAAGCACCGATTGGAGAATGTTTTCCTCTTCCTCTTTTCAATCTCTCTTCCTTTTGTTTTTTTTTTTTATTTGCTCTCTTTTGTAATGGCCCCTTTCTGAGGTTTTTTGTGTTTATCCCCTATATGGTTTTTTTATCCTGTCTTCTTTTAGGGTTTCTTTGTGATGGCTTCTCTTTAAGTTTTTTCAAGAGGGGTTGTTATAATATCAATTCATATTCGATTATAGATAAATTATACTCCATAAAACATTAAAGGATGTAACTTCAATAATAGATTTATTTTTATTTTTACTTCAATTTTATGTATTTTTATATTTATTTTTTAATATTTTAAATAGTATATTTAAATTAAAAATTTACTGTTAATTTTAAAAATTCATCTACATGATTTAATAATTAATATTAAAAAATTATATATTTATTTAATAGTTCAGAAAAAATTCTTGGAACTGACACGTGGTAAGGGAAGAAGTGAGGTATTTTGGTAATCGTGGCATTTTTTTTATAGAGGTGTCAACTCAGAAGACTGTGACACGGTGATGACTAGAACAGTTGCCACTCCTCCATCTTTGTTACGGGTGCCACCCGGGTATCAGCTTGTTTGCCTGGGATATGGCAGCGAGCTATTGGCATGTGGTTTAAACACAATCAGAAAAATGCGACAGCAACCTGTCACAATGTAATTAATTTCTTCCATATACTGTAAACAAGATTTAACTAAAATCATTAAGTAACACTGTTACCAGCTCATCCAAACCCAAGATTTCCATTCCGGGTTGATCAGAAAACTCACTATATTAACTGTTGACGGCTGATGGACTGATAAAAATGTCCAGTTGACTGGTCTGTATATTTTTTTTTAATTTTTTATCGTGTTTTTTAGATAGTTTTAATATATTAGTGTTAAAAATGATTTTTTTAAAAAAAAATTAGTATTTTTTCTATTAAAAACACAACGGTAACACACTTTCGAGTATCCTCCAAAGCTTGAAATGCAGTTATAAGTTTGTCATCACGGAGGTTTTTTTTTTTTTTTGTAAGGTATTATCTGACAATTATAAAACCTGTCAAAATATTGTTAATTGAGTGAAAGATCATCACCAAAAATCTCTGCATGAGCATTGACTATCCCGAAACCGATGAAATCTATTATTATCTCTGACAATAATTTCTCTCCCAACTATGCCTGAGATAAACTTGAAGGCACTATGACAATCACCGCATATCCTGAGATTTTTTGTGATTCTTACAGGTACTCCAGGAGGGAGAGCTAAAAGCCCGAAAGCAAGGGCAATTTTCTCGCTGTGGTACCCAACTTCTGTCATTTTCTCTTCTTCTTCTAAATCATAGAGAGCATAGTTGGTGTCAGGCATGTAGCCAGCCGCCTGCATTTCTGTCCTTAGCTTAACTAGCATTGCCTGAATCTCATTATTCCTTTCGTGGGATGTATCCTTTGCTTGGAAGACATGGACCTTATTCTTTGCGGTAACCCAACTACAACCGGCACCCTTCTTGATCCCAACATCCTTCATTTCTTTTCTCACAAGAGTTGCTTCATCCCACCTGCATTAAGGTCCCAGATAGTTGGTTGGCAAGCAGAAGGAAAATATAGACAAAGAAGAGGGCTAAATTTGAAAAACCAATTACTTAAAGCAGATGAAAGAACAGCATGGTGAACGAGCAATCTCTAGTATATTACGGGGAAGCAGCCACTAAAATTATTAGTACATTAGATGTGCAACAAACAAGCAGGATAGGGACCCTCTCAATCAAGTCTAAAATAATGGCTACCAAAAACATCGGCCAGGGTAATTGGGTTAAAAGTAATGGTGACGGGGCTACAAGGTTTTGCTAAGATATAACCGCAAACTTGACTGGGAAGTTTCGACCTTTTCAGATAATAAATGGAGAGAAAATAAGACAATCACAACAAGTGAAGCATTATTTCTATTTGCAAGAACAGCATCATTCCTGAGTCGTAATTCTGAAGGTCCAGACAAAGACAACTTCCGTGTTCGTAGCTACAGAGATTCCATGAACTGTGTTGCCATGTTCCTTAACGGATCTTGTGTTTAAACTTGGATCTTTCATATTGAAGATTTTAAATTCAACTCTTGATATGAGTGAGTGGTTATTCAACATATCGGGAAGGCTGCTCCCATTGTCTAGCATGGGGGCCAGAGACAGAGAACCCCATTCCCCCACGAACATAACTATTTATGAGGTGTAGTATTTGAAAGAAAGATGGATTCAGGTGAAAATTTTTCATTCTTCAATGACGACCCTAAAACATACCATTTTTTATGTCGTGTAGTTCAAAATAAACCAGTCATTGCATCACATGATGATGGGGAAAAAACAGTACACCGACTACAGAAGTACATTGACATCAGCAGCAGAAAATAACAGGAACTTCAAGGAAGCAGATACAAACACCTTCTAATTAAAAGCTAGCCTAAATTTGTAGCATTTCTGAAAAACAATAAGGTTTGCTTTAAACAATTAACTTACCTTCCAGCTGCAGCAAACATATTTGAAAGCAGAACATGGTTGCCTGAATCTTTGGGATCAAGTTTGAATAAGTTATCAGCTGCAATTTTACCCAACTCGGGCTCCCCGTACACCCTACAAGCATTTAAAAGAGCACCCCAAACTGAAATTGTTGGACGAATTGGCATTTTTTGTACAAACTCATAAGCACGCTCTACCATTCCAGCCCGCCCTAACATGTCTGCAATACAAGCATAATGCTCTGCTCCCGGTTCAATCCTGTACCTGTCCCTCATTGACTCAAAAATCTCGTTTCCCAATTTAACTGCCCCTCCCCTACTACAAGCCGATAACACACAGATCAGTGTTACATAATTTGGTAACGCCTCAGACTGCATTTCTTCAAACAGTGTCATGGCCATGTCAACATCCCCTTGGTGTGCATACCCACTAATCATAGCATTCCAAGAAACCAAATTCCTTTCAGGCATCTCATGAAAGACCTGCTCACAATCTTCAATACTTCCACATTTACCATACATGTCAACAAGGGCACTGC